CTCATTTTTAATGCGATATTTCGAACCTGTCACAACTTCTCTTCTCATTTGCAAATTGCTCCACAATGAATATCGCTGTTCCGTGGTGTTGTTAACCTTCTTCCTCCAAGTACCTTCACGTCCTCTCGTAATGATCTAAGCTACAGAAAATTATATCGATCCGTGACACGCAAGCCTTAAAATGTCGCGTTTCACTCTCATGTAGCCAGTCTACCGGCGGCAGCCTCGGTGGTCTCGCATTTACGAAACAGCCGAGCGAAATGAATGAATTATTCAGTTTTGTTGTGTTGAAGTTAACTTGATCATCTTTGTACGGATAAAGAAAGATAGTGGCGCAAAGAAGATTTCACGAAATAAAAACTGACGATTCATAAAAGGGTAATCGATCATATTAATTACACCACGACTTACTTTTAAACCACGAAGATGTCGATATATCAAATGATGTTTCTCTTCTTCCTAGTATCAAACAAAGAGGGAGAGAAAGATTCAATTTTAAACGTGCAGATAGCATCATCATCATCCTATATGATCCATCTATCTCTATCCCCACTCATCTACGGTAGAAAAGAAGAACGGTAAAGCAAATGACGGAAAGTGCACCGAATTTCCAGTCAAAGAAAAAAGTAATTGTCCAATTCTGTTCGTAGCAACTTGAAAAGCAAAAGAAAAAAGAGAGAGGAAGAAAAAAATGAGAGACACAAACCTGTACTCATTATGCTCGTTCGATTCAAGCGGTTAGTCATTTATTTCAGGCGGCGCAGAAAACAGGAAAGACCAAAGCAGAAAGAGAGATAGGCGAAGCATCAGGAAGGAAGAAGGAGCGACGCGCGCTGAAATGTATCCGCGGTTTATTATTATTTTATTCGGATATTCTCCGCCGCGTTATACCCCATAACCCACCCTCTTCCCTACACCTTTTCCTGTACCACCGTCGCAACGCCTCCCCCTCCCCTACCATAGAACCACCACCATACTTCTGATTCTCCCCCACCGCGAGGAGAGAGGAGAGACCACCCCTCAGTGTTCTACACTCGCTTCGCGGCAGTCAAGTCGTAATCCCCCTTCGCAAAGTCCTTAACAGGCAGGGCAGGGCCCAGCCAAGTACGCGACAGGGACGTTAAAATTTAAGGTTTCCGTCGACACGTTGCGACCCATAAATTTCCTCGCTCGAAACCGCCGCTCTTTCCTTCGGCTACGCTTGACAAATTACACCAGCAGCATCCCCGCGAAAAATCCACTGGAAATTGCTTTGCCACTTGCTTTCATCGCGATCGATCGAAAGAATAATGTATACGTCTATTCGAAGTGAATAATCAATTGATTAGATCACACTATAAGAAAACATAATTAAGCTTTCGTAACAATGAACATTAAATTCCATTTTATGAAAAACTGTTACTCTAGCAGTTGACTTACACCATTATGATTCTATCAGTTTTTAAACTGATAGAAATTTAAAAAAGTATGAATGTCATTTGATATGAATATCATTTGATTTTCAATGTGAATAATTCTGTTGAACTACGTAGATAGCTGAGTTTCACCTTTTGCTTCCTTAATCAAACATAATACTCTGAAATACAATAAAACCATTTTTTAAATGATACCAAGTACATAAGGTAGATGTGGCAAGAGTAAAACAGTTGAATATAATGATACATACCTGCTTCCGAAAGACTTACAATTAACACTATTTTTTTTTTAAATCCTCAATAATCTTCAATGATCAACTTATCCCATTTTAAAGAATAGTTAAATGAGTTAACTGGTAATTGCTGAAATATTGTATTATCTTGAAGATACACCTATAAAAAAAGAATGTTATTTTTTGTACAATCAACTCCAGTGAGAATTTTGTTAACAAAACAAATTTAAAAAATCGACTTTTAAATTTCCGAATGCAAATCGATTGAAATTCGATTGCATCGGTGGCGCTTTCTGTCATCGGTACTACTCTACCTGTCAATTTTGTTAGGTTATGTTATTCGAATGATAGCAACATGTAATACAAATCGCGTTTTAGAATAACAGATGATCGTAGCAGTTTAAAGAGGAAATTTGTAAAGGTATTTCTAGCTGTTTCTCATACTCGATGTATATTGAGTTCACGAACGTCTAGACGACGAGTTTATATTCAAATAGTGTCTTCGCTAAAATATAAATATTTCAGAAAGTAATTTTAAAAAGATGCTTTATACTTTACGTTTGAGACATCTTTTTATACAGTTCCTCATTCTATAAAGTTTGTATTTTATAAAAATCGTTATAACTATTTTATGATAAAACAAATAATTCAATGACAATTAATGAAATTTCATTTTTCTTTCACTTTTAGTTCTGTCATAATTTCTTTAACATTTAATAGAAAATAATGCTCTCTTACCTGATTGATCTAATATCCTGATAATGTTGTAATAAATGTTTGAATATTGCTTTCATTTTTATAAAATGTGTTCAGTAGTTCACTCGGAAATGTCATATTTCGCTAATAAAGCTGTCATTGGTCAATCCAGATCCTGAACTCTATTATGAAAAATGATGCATTCTGTTATCGAAAAATCACATTATAGGAAAAATTCGGGAAAAGCTTTACAAAACAAAATTCATAACAATTCAATCGAGAACTAGAATAATTAAAATCTCTTTGAAATTTCGAATATTAAATTTTGGATTTTAAATATCAATAGGTGGCGCTGGCAGATGTTCGTTTGTTAACCGCCAAAATTGTAGTTCCGGTTATAAGAGTCGATTTTGTTGTCATAATTTCTGCTAAATTACGGTTCAATTGTGTCTATAATTAAAAATTGAACGTAAATTAAGACAGACTAGGCAAATTGTTGGCGAAAAAGCATTCGCATTTAGAACGTAACGCATTTTAACGATATTTTTTTCCTTTATTGCGAAAAAAGTTGTTTTCCACATAATGCGAAACATCTTCAAATCAACATTAAAACACTGGAATTGAAGGTATTTTAAATTATCTTATCTATCATATTTTTCTATAATAAACTTTGCAATATTCTTTGTTATTTTTAAATATTTTCGTCATAAAATATGCAATTTTTATTTCATAACACATAAATATACAAATATTGTATATTCGTGGCAATCCAAAGAATTCTCAAATAATTTGCAATTCTTTATACAGAAAACTTTTGAAGATTTTATTAAAATTAAATTTAACAAAGATTTATCTTCTATTTGAAAAAAAAATCTAAAGCGACAAGTGCTACCATCTATTGCTCTCTCGTTAAATATAAGGAACCATTTAGCGAGTCATCAATTACCGACAGTTGGTAACTGACTCTTTTCAAAATTTAAAAAATTTTGAACATTTGAAACTTAAACTTAATCACTTCAAATATAACATTTAAATTATCAAATTTTCAACGAATATTTACATCGAATTATTCAACGAATTATTGGAAAATTCCGTAATAGGAAAAAAATAACGTAACCCATATTCTCAACCATTTATTTTTCTCTTTTTTTTCTCTGTATCACTAGAATGTTAAACAAAACCATTTGTTCTTTAGTCGCATAAGTTTCAGCACGGAAAATGGTTCGAAGATGTCACAACTAACAAGTAGATACCAAAGACTTATAAAAAAACGATTTCACAATTTCTGTCGATCGAAAATTTTGAGCAAACGTCGGGACGAATTTTTGACAGTGTCAAAATGTGACAACCGTCGATATGCGTGTGTCTCACTTCATACGAATTAATTACCGTCCGCCTTTCAACAAGTCGTGCAATGTAAAGAACAATGTGCGCGTTGCCCAGTCCTCCTTCTTCAAATACATATCTTGTTTCCGGCATTAATACATTTATTGCTGTTCTGAATACAACGATCTTCGTTATCTTTGTTCTGGAAAACAGATTCTCGAAAGAAATTCTCAAGTTTCATTGTACTTTATAGATCCGTTGGAATGAAATTTGTCAACATCATTTGCTGATCAATCACGTCACATGAATCAACATCCTGAAACATTCCAATTGAAATTTAACGCGACACTTAAATGTCGAAACTTAAATACAATTGTAATAATAGACAGATTCTAGCAGATCCAATACTTTCACGAGTCACTACATGTGACGAGTTTGTAATTAGCATAGTGTTCCCACTCGTAGATCACGGAGAGATCCAGCGAATCCAGAAATTGAAAAAATAGATGAGAATTTCTATTCGAAAATCTTCTCCCAAGAGAACATTCTCACGCAATAAAATTGTTTCATGCTTAAACGTTAATTTATCACGAGGCCTAGCGAATTCCCTTTTTTTTCTTTTTTTTTTTTTTTTTTTTTTTTTTTGTGATTCGTTTATTCTTCCGTAACAAAGTAGTATACGAAATATGCTCTATCGTGTACGCCATTTATCGGAGTGAAGAAAAATAATTTGCAAGGGGTTAAGATTTGTAAATGCTCCTCGTGTTCCCCAATTCGTGTCGAACCAAAGGAGCATAACAATTTACAGCAACTATAAAAATAATGTGTTTACCATTCCAAAGGTTGTCTTCTTCCTCTTCTTCTTCTTCTTCTTCTTCTTCTTCTTCTTCTTCT